TTGACTCCACGCACTGCCCTCTAAGACTTTATACACTCGACCCCGTGACGTTACATAGTCTCCAATTACATAGCTCCAAAACTCATGGCTAATGATGCTTTCGGGCCACTCGTCTTCTAGTTTGTTATCATGGTTTGGGGCTTTCAGGTTTAAAGGTTTAGGATGTCATGTTTTTGTTGTTTAGGCTTGGCGCTTAGGGTTTAAGATTCAGGTTTACGTCGCTAGTAAAAGTTTAGCGGCTTTAGGGGGTTATGATGTGGGGGTTTACGGTTTGGATTGTAGTGCTTGGGATCGGGGTCGCTCCCCCTTAGGATCCTCGGAGACGAGCGAAGGCACCATTGTGTTCGGGTTTAGGGTTTAGGGTTTAGGGTTCGGAAGTAACAGCAGCAATGGCGAGTTAGTAGTAAGACTAACAGTTGCTGTTGAGGCTTGCTCTTGCTATTGGTCATACTTTGATTGGCATTGTGATGATGTCAGTTGACGTGATGATGGCAACCATGGAAGAGCCTGTCTCACCAGAGTTTCTTCCAGAAACTCATGTGCAGCAGCCATGTAGGGTTATTTGTACTCAGAGCAAGACCTGTTGTATGATCATGTCGGTGCAGGGAGTCAGGAAGGCAATACAGGGTCCGGGAGAATTGTATTTTTATAGTCACATTTATAGAATTCGTAGGAGTAGTCATAAGTAGCAATATGCAAACGCAGATCCTAAGTGATGTGAGATGCCTGGGCGATGAGATCACCGGAAGAGACGGGCCGCGCTTTGATGCAACAGGGGAGCCTGAATCACTCTACCCACATTATTTCTTGGGGTTCTTGACTATAAATCTAATGCACTTATGATATACCCAACAGTCCTCATCAAGGCCCTTATACTGTGGATAAGAAACCCTTGTTGTAGAACCCTGAAAGCATCCCGTAAAGGAACCCTCCTCTACTTCTTAACGTCCCGGTATTGGCTAAACCCTAAACCCTAAACCGTGAACCCTAAACCCTAAACCCTGAACCCTAACCCTAGACCAAAGCCCACAGCTCCTGACTAGGCCACCATGTTTGCTTTGATCGTCGCCTGCCACAACCTTGGCGCTTCTGGGACGTTAATGCTCAGACTAGGGTTCCTTTCAGGCTTCTATAGTGGGTTCCTCCTTGACCCTAAACCCTAAACCTAAACCCTAGACCCTAAACCCTAAACCTGCCGTTGCTATATTGAGTTCCTTCAAGGGTAGTATGTTGGAGTCGTTTTATCGGACCCTAAAACCCCCAACCGCCCCGCCCCCAAGAAAAACGTAGACCTTCTCTATTCGGGTTGAAAATTGATTCTGGGGTTTAGGGTTTCAGGGTTTAGGGTTTCAGGATTATAGGGTTTAGGGATTAGGGTTCAGGGTTTAGGGTTTCAGGGTTTAGGGTTTTGGGATTATAGGGTTTAGGGTTTCAGGGTTTAGGGTTTTGGGATTAGGGTTTAGGGTTTCTGGTACGGGGATGCTCATCTATACTTGTCGAGCCGGTGAAATCGGGCTCTAGAGTAGGGCTCGACCTGGCCGCGGCTGCAGTGTAGTGCCCAGGGCATGGGACTGGGACTGTATGGAAGTACAAACACATGCCTCTAGTAAGCTGTAGTCTTAGGTTTTGCGTCAAGCGACCACCCTGCGAGTCATCATGTCGATGTTCGTGGATGTGCATCTGCTGAGTGGCAAGTGCGCCTCTGTGGAAGTGAGGGCGGATGCATCCGTTGAGTCATTGAAGCACCGCGCCCAAAGTGCTCTGATGGTCCCGAGAGGGCGGCTGCTGAATTCTTCTGGAGAGGTGCTGGACGGAGCGCAAACTATAACAGAAGCCAGGTTGATGAGCGGAGACGTGCTCACCCTACATGTGCACAACGTGCAGCTTAAAGCCAACCGGTGGGGCAGTATGTTCTCTGCCTTCGCCGCACTTCTGGGTGATGGATCTGTGGTCACCTGGGGAGAGCCCCAAAGTGGTGGCGACAGCAGTGCGGTACAGGAGCAGCTGTGCGATGTGCAGCAGATCCAAGCTTCTTTTCGTGCCTTTGCTGCCATCCTTGGTGATGGATCTGTGGTCACCTGGGGAGAGCCCGAGTATGGTGGCGACAGCAGTGCGGTACAGCATCAGCTGCGAGATGTGCTGCAGATCCAAGCTTCTGTTGGCGCATTTGCTGCAATTCTGGGTGATGGATCTGTGGTCACCTGGGGAGAGCCCAAAATTGGTGGCGACAGCAGTGCGGTACAGCATCAGCTGCGAGATGTGCTGCAGATCCAAGCCTCTCTTAGCGCATTTGCTGCAATTCTGGGTGATGGATCTGTGGTCACCTGGGGAAAGCCCGAGTTTGGTGGCGACAGCAGTGCGGTACAGGAGCAGCTGTGCGATGTGCAGCAGATCCAAGCTTCTGGTCGTGCCTTTGTTGCAATCCTGGGTGATGGATCTGTGGTCACCTGGGGAGAGCCCGACTATGGTGGCGACAGCAGTGCGGTGCCGGAGAAGCTGTGCGATGTGCAGCAGATCGAAGCTTCTTTTCGTGCCTTCGCCGCACTTCTGGGTGATGGATCTGTGGTCACCTGGGGAGAGCCCCAAAGTGGTGGCGACAGCAGTGCGGTACAGCATCAGCTGCGAGATGTGCAGCAGATCCAAGCTTCTTGTCGTGCCTTTGCTGCAATCCTTGGTGATGGATCTGTGGTCACCTGGGGAGATCCCGAGTCTGGTGGCGACAGCCGTGCGGTATAGGAGCAGCTGCGAGATGCGCAGCGGATCCAAGCTTCTGTTAGAGCATTTGCTGCAATCCCTGGGGATGGATCCGTCGTCACATAGGGTGATGCCGACCTTGGCGGTGACAGCTGCGCCGTACAGGATCAGCTGCCTGATGTGCAGCAGACACTTTGTTCGAACAGTGAGAAGCAGCATGCGAGCCCTTTTTTTAAATGGATTCCTAGGTCCCGCAAAAGTACACGATTGCCTTATTTTCTTGGCGTCCTTAATTATTCAGAGCTAAAAAATGGGAAAAGGTGCGACGCCCATGTGTTCTAAAATTGGGGTCGCTTAAGGGTATTTTATTGGGTTTATTAAGGTGACTGTAAGGGTTCTTTCGCTTTGGTTTGGAGCTTTCGGGTACCGATGAAGGGCACGCGCGATTCTGCAACATAACGCGCGGTCCATCTAAGTGTATAGTATATAATTACAGCTACTACATTCTACAGAACCGTCCCCACAGGCTTCGATGTCTTTGCCACAATGGAACGGCCTGTACCGAACCCTAAACCCTAAACCCTAAACCCTAAACCCTAAACCCTGAACCCTAAACCCTAAACCATGACCTATGTTTCGTGCTTGCGGTCCAGGTTGCAGTCGCCAGCTCCTGCGGCGCGTCTGGGGCAGCACAGAGAAGTAGTGCCCACGTTGAATCCAGGGTCGTTTCCGGCTCTTCTCGGGCCTAGGAGGCAGGGGAGATGATTTAAGCTATGTTCCTTAATTAAGGGGTATTGGGTTACTGGGTAATCATTGTAGTAATATCCGACTTAACCACCCGGACTCTGCTACAACCACTTGGTGAGGCCTTGCTCCTACAACGCCTCGGATGTAATCCACGCGGAGAATCGACCGAGAGCCAGGAATTCGACAGCCTTTGGTTGGCCTCCGCTATCGCAAGCTGCTTGAGCTGTGCTGGGTAAAGGGTTTAGGGTTGAGAACCCCAAACCCTAAACCCTAAACCTTAAAGGGCTTAGGGCTGGGACTAAGCCCTCATCCCTAAACTCACTAAGCCCTAAACCCTACTAGGGGGAGCAGTGGTGGGAAAAGGGGTCAAGGTTGGTTCCAGGGTTTCGATCTTTGTCATTTGTGGCCGAGGTCGCTGTTTCAAGTCCAAGTTTGGGTTCAATGGCGCCTGTCAGAGCCGGCATTGGAGCGTGGAAGCCTGAACGATTACCACTGCTATCCTTTAACCTTACTACGGTTGATGATATACACCCTGCCCCAAAACCCTAAACCGTAATCCCTAAACCTGCAGTGCCAAGGACCCCAGAACTTAAGGTATATTCTTTAATTAAGGCGTATTGAGTTCTCTGGGCAGCCTTAAATGGAAGCGGTAGTCGACGACCCCAACAGCCTTGATGTAGCCCTTGTTGTAGAGCTCATAAGAGCCCTATAAGCACCATTATTGTGCTTTAGGGTCTATAGGGTTAGGGTTTAGGGTCTACGGTTCAGGGGTTGAGGATTTAGGGTTAGGGTTTCGGGTTAGAACGGTTATAAGAGCCCTTGCAGAGCCTTTAGAGAGTTTGAGACCTCAGGCTTGCTCCCATTGATCAGCGTCGTGGCCCTTCTGGCGCTGATTCCAGACGTGAAGCCGGGCGAAGCTGGGCATGATAAGGTGGTTTAGGGTTGAGGGTTTAGGGGTTTAGGGGTTTGGGGTTGAGGGTTTAGGGGTTTGGGGTCACCCAGAGAACCCAATACGCCTTGATTTAAGGACAGTCGGATATACCTTTAACTATAGGGTCCTGGACACATTGGTTTAAGGTGTATTCCTCAATTAAGGGGCATTGGGTTCTCTGGGCATCTAAGCTACCGCACCAGAGAGTTGCACAATAAACCACTGATATGTTGAAGGAAGTTAGTTCCTGAAGAACGAGGCTTAACAAGAACATCGATATATATATATATATATATGACAAACGGGAGTTTCCGAAAATTAGGGTACCTTTTTTGGTGCCCGTATAATAAGGATCCTACTATTTAGGGTACTATATGAGGGTCCCTATTTCTGGAAACCCCCAAATGAGATGCTTGGTGTCTCAATCTAAATTCCCTGAGAAGAGCCCAGGAACGAGTCTCCAACATCGAGCAGGGCGACGGTGCCCGGGATGCAAGTTTGGCACTTAGGGTCTTTGAGCTGAACCCTAAACTTTGGCCCTAAACCCTAAGCCCTAAAGCCTATAATATAGGGGTAGTTCTCAAAATTAGGGTCCCTTTGAGGGTCCTTTTCATAAGGGTGCCGTACTATATTTGGGACCTAAAAGGAGCCCTAATTTAAAGAACTACCCATACATGGCTTGAGGTGTATGTGAAATGGTGACTGATCAGAGACTGGGCCTCAGAACAAGAATTGGGTTTTCTTTAGTCCCAAGGTTGCTAAAGGAATCACCTGTGGCAACAGCTGTGTTTGAGAATGGCCTAGCAGACACTTACCAAAATGGCCCTTCCAAGCAAAGGTTCATCACAGTCGGCTTGATGTCAGTCGTCACTCCACTTCTGCATCATGTTTTGCGCGCCATAGACAGGAATGCTATCGCAAAGTCCAAGATTTAAATTAGCAGGACCGCCACAAGCGCATCTCGTAGGATACGACCCCTGACGACCTAAACCCTAAACCCTAACCCCTAAACCCTAAACCCTAAACCCTCAACCCTAAACCCTCAACCCTTTACCCTCAACCCTCAACCCTAAACCCTAAACCCAGGTTGTAGAGTCCTTTCGTTGAGGGCCGTCGAGGCATCTGTTTTTCTTCATCAAGCATTGGGTTTGGTACGAGTTTGGCAGGTGTTTTGGGGTTTAGGGCTTAGGGTTTAGGGTTTAGAGTTTAGGAGTTAGGAGTTAGGGGTTTAGGGTTTAGGGTTTAGGGTTTAGGGTCTAGGTTTTGGTAGGGGTTCTCGGTATCCACCTCACCTCAGGGTTTGGGGATTAGGGTTTGGCAGGAGTTTTGGGGTTTAGGGATTAGAGTTTGGGGTTTTGCCTCTAGTAGGGGGTTTGGGTTCATAACTCTAAACCCTAAACCCAAAAACCCTAAACCCAAAAACCCTAAACTCTAAACCCTAAAACCCTAAACCCTAAACTAAGGTATCTTTTCTGGGTTTAGGGTTTAGGGTTTTAGGGTTTAGGGTTTTAGGGTTTAGGGTTTAGGGTTTAGGGTTTTTGGGTT